CTACCAACTGGTTTGCAAAACTGAGCATTGCATCCCATCAACAGAGACAAATAGGGCAAAGAAATTATATCTAAAAATATTTCTAAAGTCAGGAGTCCTCCTTACCCATTTTTTCTTCAGTGTTTCTAGTTCAGTTTGATCACAACTGCTGAGGTCCCTCCTACTAGCTTTGCTGTTGTTTCATCAGATTATTTGACTTTGATTTAAGATAACCTTTCTCTGTAGGAGAGCTGATGAGTTTAAAGGAGACAGCCAGGATGGGTGCAGGTGCTGCTGGTTTGCCTAGAATTGACACAGCAGTATTGTAGACACCTGCTGTCTTCAGAGATGCCAAGCTCTAGGAAGACATGAGAATAACCTAATGGGCTCAAAAAGCACCCAAAAATAGACAATGATGAATAAAAAACAACTGACAAAAAAAAACAAAGAGAGAGACTGACGTATAGGTGATACCATTATTTGTTGCACTACTGCAGATGTTAAACGTCCTTAATTCTGTAAGTTAGTCATTGCAGTAAGGTTTGCTATACTGCTTTCAGGACTTAAGAAGTTACTGTCTCAGTTTGATCTTCAACTGTTAGAGGTAGAAGTATGGAATACCCTGAAAGTGTCATGATAAATGCAGGTTAAAGGGTAAACAATGAGAAATACACGGAAGGAAATGCTCAGAAAGAAGAAAATGAATGAGGTTAGAAAGAAATAGAAATGAAATTATTAGGAGTAATGGAGTCTTTCATAATTATTCTGCCAAGGGGGGCTGCACAATCATTTGCATCTGAATGCAAAATGCTAAATATATTTACAACTGTAGTAGCAAACCAAGCATCTAGAAATTCATTGTAGAATCATCATAGAATCTTTTGAGTTGAAAAAGGCCCTTAAAAGTCATCTAGTACAACTGCCCTGCAATGAACAGGGACACCTGCAGCTAGAACAGGTTGCTCAGAGCCCAGTCCAGCCTGACCTTGGATGTTTTCAGGGATGGGACATCCACCACCTCTGTAGGCAGCCTGTTTCAGTGCTTCGCCACCCTGATTGAAAAAAACTTCTTCCTTATATCCATTCTAAATTTTCCCTCTTTCAGTTTGAAACCATTTCCCCTTGTCCTATCACAACAGACCCTGCTGAGGAGTCTGTCCCCTTCTTTCTTACTGTCCCCCTTAAGATATTGAAAGGCCTCTATCAGATCTCCCTGGTGCCTTCTCTTCTCCAGCTGAACAGCCCCACATTCATTCATAGCACATTTCAAAAACTAAGTATCCAAGATGCTCACATGTTTGATATAGTTTTCTACAGCACACTCATACACATTGCACAAAGGGAGAGTCTCAGAGCAGTGTTTTCTCCACTCTGGATAACATTCTGTAACTATACAGAAAGTAAGAGCAAGAAATAGTATCTCCTCACAGCTGAAAATATGCACCTTTTTTGTGCCTTAATACTCTTTTAATCTGTTCCCACAACCCTTTCTACAAGCAAACCTTGTACCAGTTTCACTATACTGGTAAAAGAGGAAGCTCCTCTGTGTAAGGTCATGTTGACCAGGATAAACTGAAGTACTCAACAAGAATAAAAGGAATCAAAACACAACAAGCTGCAATGAAGTAAAAAGGAAGGAAAAATTGTTAATCCTATCAATCTTCATGTGCCTAGGCCTTGGAAGTGCACAGGAAAGTACAAACTTAAAAAGGCGCATTCCTCCCTCTGCATTTGCAATGAAGAGAGCAGGACAACATCAATTAGATCCTCTGGAAATTATAAATATCAGCAGAGCCAACTGTGCTTTCTCTGCTTTCTCTGCTGTGATTGCTCTCACCTTTGCAATTCCCCTTCATTTCCCTGTATACTTCCTATCTTTGCTATTTATCCTTAGCTCTTCTCAACTCTGCATCAAATTTCATTCAGTCCTGGAGCATAGTAAATAATCCAGAAGGGGCCCAGAAATGAAGCTCAGTAGCAGATAATCCTGCTGGACCATCAGCTACACCCTTTCCTATCATCAGCATGACACATAGTACTGATGTGGTTGAAAATCACTTGTCATCACCTTTATTTACCTAGTTCAAATGAACACATTTATAGCGAGTCTAAAGTAAAGATAGACTTTCTGGCTTCATAGAAAATCAGGCTGCTCACCTGCTCTGCATTGTGCTATGTGGTCTCACTGAGCAAATAGCACTAAAAGTCTTCTCAAAAACACTCATCAAGAACTTACCCATACTCAGTTTCCAGTGGCTAATGTATTTATTAACTAATCCTAAAGCACAGAAGTTCTGTATGAAATCATATTTTATCCAAGTAAGATTTATTTTCTGTCAAATACTAGATAATAGATTCTACGTACAGACAAAGAACTGATTACAGAGCAGTACCTAAGCATGGCTGTGATCAGCAGAATGGAAGATAAAATCATGGATAGCTGCCAGAATTAAAATATTATAAGAATAGAAAATGCTGAATGCACAGGATAGATACAAAACTGTATGTATTTAACATTGACACTTCATTTTCATGGAGTGCTAAAATAGCCACAACTCCTGTCAAAAAGCTGAGCAAGGAAAAGGGTAGGCCAATGGGTTCAGCACAATGTCAACACCAACAGAGCCCCACAGAGGCACGAATGCAGCTTGATATAGCAGGAATGTTACAGGCTTAGAGCCACCATCTCTCTTCATAGTCCATCAAGGTAGTTTGCTTAAAAAGTTCTGTTGGTGTGGAATACACAGCTCTCCATTCAGCATGATTTCATAGCGCACACATAAGTAACTCACATATAAATATGTGCCAGAAAAAGATTTGTTGGCTTACTTACAGCTTTCATACCTCACCTGTGCTTTCAAGTTCCTGCACGAGTTTGGAAGAAGATAAATTAGTCACCATTAGCAGAAAAAAAAGATTTTTCTGCACTTCTAATAGAAATATTCTTTGTGTTAAAAAAATAAAAAGACAAAATGCCATTTATCAAACAATTGTATTACTCCTTCAGAAATAGATCTGTTCAATTGCATCCATTTTATCACAGTTGTGCCTTCTGATTACGGTTAGTAAGAGTTAACACAGTAGCAGCATTTGTTCATCCAGTTCAGAACAACGATTCCAGTAAATTAAATTGTTAAAAACGGGGCATGTTTTCTTGCGCAATCAAGACATCTCCATGTGCCACTTATGAGCAGATGTACTGAGGTCAGTATCAAATTTGATACTGGCAAAACCAAGGTGACAATTTTGCCTCTAAGTCAGACAAGAATACAACATATTTGCCTTTAACCTTACAGCAACCAGATCCTGTAGACTGAGCATGAGTGAGAAAATGGATTTTTTTTTTTCATTATTTGTTATAAAGTTTTCAAGAGATTCGTCCTGTTAATGAATATTTTAATGTATGCACAATGGAGTTGCTGCAGGCTGGACTTTAGGAACACATTTTCAAGACTGGATATAGGATGATAGATAAACAATCTCATTCCTACACAGGGCCCAAATTCTAAGGGTGGTGAATATACCCTAACATATTTGTCTGGAAGAAACTGAGTTTGGTTCTAACTCCACAGGCTTCTCCAGAAATTCTCAGGAAATGAGGTAAGCCTTTCTGGTCAGACATGACAACATTGCAGATGAGGTGTGGAGCTGATCATGACCCCCCATCGACTTTGAAATTTACCACTATAGGCTTCTATGCACTGTGCTTCAGAAACTGGAGATGGAAGATGCAGTTGGAGAAGCCCCTGAGCAGAGAGCAGCTGGACCCAGTCATATAGGGAATATTGCCTATGCATGGAGGTAAGGCTCAGACACAGTGGAATAATGTTTCAGAAATTTCAGATGGATAGTTTTTATTTTCAAAAGGCAGTAGGGAATGTAAGGGATTTGCCTTTGGCACTTGGTACAGACCTGGGAAATATAAAGTACGAGGATCCTGAACTAAGAGGAAGACAAAGATGATTCTTCTACAGGCATTACTTCAGTAAATAGATATATATAAAATACATTACCATGCAGTAATTAGTCCTGGGCAGCTACACCTAAAAATAGCCAGGGACCACCAAGGTACCACCAGGGATTTCTATTGATCAACTCAAAATCCACCCAGTTCAAAATCCATCCAAGCCAAAATCCAATCCAAAACTCATCTACTTACTTAACATGGACTGGAAAAGTTGTATGTTAGATACAAAATTTGACTTGTATCCTCTTCCTATCTACATTGTTTAACACACCATTTAGTATATATTCTCATATAAGTGAATGACAAGAGTTAATATGAGAGCTGACTGGATGTGCACTGAGATCTTATTAATTATACCAAGTGTTATTTATCTTAGCTACTCAAGTTTATAAAATAGAGATATGCAGCTCAAATATTTGAGATTTGGTAACGTTTACCTAGTACTGATACTCTCACTAATCCCTCTGACTTGTATATACATAAAACCAGTGAAAACCTGCAGCACAGGAAATTAGTGAGAGCCAACATGCAGAACCAAACTTACGACTGAGGCACAAATTAAATTATTTTCAAGACAAAAATCCAAACTGCTGTTCAAAATTCATTCTGCCATTTATTCTGAAATATCAGTCACAAATGACAGAAGCTGCCGAGCTTGTTCTGTACATAGTATTGCCCACTAACAACTCTACTCCAAACTATGTAGCAATAGGACCATGCTTGCTCCCAGTTCTGCAGCATGCACTCAAGCAGCATATACTCAAGTGTTTTTCAAAATGTGTCTGTCTCTATTCATATGATTTCAAGAACAGGGAATAATCTACTTTCAGCATTTTCAAGAACAAAACCTGAATGTACTACTGAGATTATATTTCTCATAAAAGATGTCCTGATCCTTTCCTTGTCTTATAAAAAAGTTTTATTTTTCAATAGAAAAGTATATTTAAAAACACAATTGTTTGCTAAAAGCAATATAAAACTCTTCATTTTTAACTCCATAAAAGTTTAACAAAACATAAATATTGTTTGCCACTTACATTCCTATATACAGGCTTTGCATTAAATATTTACATACGTAATAAACTCGGGAATGAATGGCACATGACTACAAGGGATTGAAATTCCACGTCACACTGTACAGTCACAGGAACACAAGGAGCAGCTTAAAATCCTCAGTCACTACATTGTTTTGTCCTGTTTACAGCTATTGTCCTCTTTTCTCTGCAATAATGCACCAGTTTCCATGGTCATAGCAAGAAGAAAGTATCAGAAGCTCAGGCACATTCTCTTCTATCAGAGAGCAAAGCTCCCCTTCCCGAAAAACATGATAATAGCGCATGAAGGCTTTTGTATCCAGTGTGTCATCACTTTGGTCCCCAACAGACACTGCTGAATCCAAAGCAGAGTCAGTGGAGTCAGTTGTTGAAGTTCTTTTGAAAAACTTGCTGGCATTAGACTTAACAGCATCATCTTTATTACAGCTGCAGCTGTGGTCCTTTTCTTCCACTGGGCCATTTATAAATGTAGCTTCTTCATCTTTGCTCCGAGCTGCACTTTGGTGTCCTCCATTTAAACTCAAATCCTTCAGTGCGTGTATGGCTTGTGACCATGGCAGTTTTTTGACAGGTGAGCTTTCTACAAACACATCATCATCATCTACACATTGTTCTTTTAGCAGTGCCCTATGATGACCTAAATCCAAACTGCAGTGTCGTGACTGCTGAATAGGCACGGTACTGTTTGTCCATTCTCCTTCATTCTTCAGAGGCTTCAACTTTTCAGTTTGTTTTCTGAGGGCTGATTCATCAAGGGATCTGGAGAAAAACCATGAGCGGAAAGATCTTCCAAGAGCACTGTAAAATCTATTTTCCTCTTCAGAAATTTTCATGCAGCAGGCTCTGGATAAGCAATGGTCCGTACTGTGGGGATGTTTTGAATCAGTTTCTGGTTGTAGATTGGTTTGGTAGCTGTAATCAGAGCTCAATACCTCTGCAGGGTATATATCTTGGCTTTTTACTGCATGCACAAACTCTCCCTTATCTCCAGATTGATTCGATTCTGAAAAATGCCGTGAGCACAAGGCCTTGTTCCAGGGAACAAATACATCTTGTTTCTCAAAGTGGCGATTCTTTTGTTCCATAGCCCAAACATAAACCATCATCTGGCCCCCAGGCATCAGTACTCTCGCCATTTCCTTTATTGCTTTGATTCTTCTTTGTTTAGTTGAGAAATGATGGATCACTATGAAAAAGGAAAGACATTATGTATTGAATATGAGTAAGGGCAGAACATTTTCTTTTTCAACTTGTTCTATGTGTTAAATCATTTTTGTTGCCATATCACAATCATCACTCATGCAAGTCAGCAATGCTGCAGAATTTATTGGTACTGCAGCACAAGTTTACCTCTTTTATGTTCACATTCAATGGATAAAAATAGGCAAATCACAAAGGAGGACATTCATCCGAACACAAAATAGAGTTTTGAGATAAGTCAGGCACATAAGACAGAGTTTCTGTTTCTCTGCATCACCCATAAAAGAAAACAGTATGACTAGCTTTCACTAAAATACCTGGCCATTGGTTCAGCTAAGTAATATTAAGTTCAGCTTCAGGGTTTGGGACACACTTGAGATTTATCTTAATAGGAAACACAAATTCTTTCTATCATGAAACAAATACAGCAGAAAGTAATATTGGTGAAAAGAAAAAGTTTTTCACGTCAGTGTGCTTTCAAGAGAGCTAGTCAGAAAAATTAAACAGAAATATTTTCCAGTGCATTAATTCTGTAACAAAGTATTTCCTTTTTGAATGTTTATTTTGGAGGAAGAAAGATGAGAAGTGTCTCAGTCTCCATTTTCATTCCTGAGAAAGGTATTGAAAAAAAAAAAAAAAAAATCAAAGTCAAAATAAAACTTCTGATCACTATGGTTGAATTTTCTTTCCAGGATAATTTCCAAATTTCACTATAACATGAAATGAACTGTGTTTCAAGATTTCTGCGTTGTTTATAGATTCCGGCTCACCTGAAGGTGAGCCAGAGAATAGCTAAGTCAGCTCTATAAACGCCCAAAAACATTAACTTGGACTGAGATCAGTCGTGTTGGTGAGGTTTTTCTTTATATCATCAGATTGCGATATGTGATTCAAATCAATGACATATGGACTGATTCCACAGTTCAGTTCAGATAGGCCTGTAAGCAGCTACTTCACACAACCATTCAATCTACCCATGTATCAAAATATGTATGTTCTACCCATGTATCAAAATATGTATGTTCTCAGCTTAAGTCATCTTCATATCTTCAGAAAAATTAGATTGTGTGCTGCTTGACATAGCCAATTCTTGTAGAAAGATTATTTCAATGTTGCAGTTATGAAAACTGTGTCCAGATAGCCCTGATTTAATTCTAAACGATGATTACGTTACCAAGGGGAAAAATGAACTTTTTTTACCATAGGCCAAAGAAAACTTTCTTGGCAGTTGATATTAACTAGGCCCTCAGAAGCATCTGACAGAAAACTCTGAGAAGAGTTTTCCATATGGTCAATGTTTTTTTCCAGCTCCTCCTAACTGGAAAAAAAAAAAAAAGAACACAATTAAATAAGATGGGGAGAAAGAAACTGATATTTTCTCTCGTAATGGAGGTTAAGTTATACATCACCACTGAACCTCATGTAAAATGGCATCAAACTGACAGCATAAGCATGTGAGCTTAGTTCACCACAATAAAGGGCTAATCAGCAAGCTCTATCTAAGCAATTCATTCAACAGATTAAATATTCTTTGTGGTTAGAATTACATAATCATTCTGGTACTTCTGCAGAAATAGAAATCCTATAAAGAGAATTCCAGCAAAGCGAAGTAGAGTATTTGATTCTGCACACAAATATTTGCCATTATCTGGAATGGGATAAAAAAACTCTTTATAATTAGGTGAACACAGACATATCATGTCTCTGTTCAGGAGGGATTAAAATCCATTACTGCTGAAAGTACAAAAATACCACATGAACTTTTAATATTGTCAGGCCTTTTACTGGTATAAATATTAAATAGATAGGCTACCCTACAAAGTCAGCTGATCTGATAGCTTGAAATTATGCCACAAGACCTGATATTTGGATAGACCTGACAACGGTACTGAATAGTTAATACAAAACCAAATAAATATACATATCAGTCATATATTGGTCAACGTTTCTTCCCTTTAAAATGTCATGCTTACACATACTATATATTTAAAAATACTTTTCAGTAATAGACCAAGTACTGTTGATTACTACCAATAATAATTTTCCCATTTTATATTTTTGCTCATGCTGCAAAACAGCCTGAAGGAAGTTCAAGCTAGCACTGAACTGAAAAACCTAGACTGTAACTGGGTACTCTGACTATTCCTCTTCATCCACCCTTTTCCAGGATTTGTTTCTCACAAGCAACATTTCCAAAAATAGCAGTCAGAGGAGATAAGATGTTCAGACAACAGGTGTTTGAATAGTTCTGAATTTTAATTTTGTGTCTATTTAAAGAGAAATCTGTATTCCTAATACATAGTAGTTAATATAAGTTTCAAGTTCTTGCTTTCTTACAAGTTTTTTTCCATTTCAATGTGTTTGCCAGTTAAAATGGATCTTAAGGAAGAAACAAAAGTGTATCTTGATCATGTAATGTATTTAAACTACAAATAGCCATGTTTATATTTTGCCTTCCAGTACCTCAAGGGTACCTGCAGGAAAACTGGGGCTTCAAGCAACCTGGTCTAGAGTGAGGTGTCCCTGCCTATAGCAGGGGTGTTGGAACTAGATGATCATAAAAGTTCTTCCAATCCAAGCCATTGTATGATTCATTCTATGATTCTATATTAATTTTTACTTGCTTAAAGTGCATGATTGAAGGAAATCTTTTCTTCAGAGTCACCAAGACTGAATATTAAAAAAAATGATTTACATATTTCCCTGGTCAACAGCACATCTTTCTAATGGACCAAACTTTGTTTAACTTTTACTACATTTATTTCAGTGATACATGCTGTGATTCTTAGGGAACTTTATGAAAAGACATTTAACTGAAGTAAAGACACTCGGAAAGAAAATGACCAAAAGAAATATGTATTTGCAGTGAGACAGAATGACTGTATGCTGTCTTACCTCCAATGGAAATGACTGCATTGAAGCACTGGTCCCTAAAGGGAAGGTTAAGGTTGTCACAAACCAGAACTTCTTCACCTCTCTTCCTTGCGATTTCTACCAATGGTCCACAGTAATCACAGCCAAGATTGTACACCTGATTGTTGACACTGAGATATTTTCCAGTTCCACAACCTAAAGAAAAGAATACTCTTTAGTAGATTAGAAGCTGTCTGTTCCTCACAAAACAGTGAAAATAATGGGGAGTGAGGCTGGGGGTGAGTTTTCTTCTCTGTTTTATCTTCTGTTCTAAGATTTCCTGAAAATGTGTGTTTGCTTCTACTAGCCTAACTCCTGCAAGATTCATTTGGACTGTTTGAAATTATTTGCTCACGTCATTAGGAATGTAACGGTACAAGTATCACAAATAAAAATACTCATTACATAGCCCTGTGCTATACTACGCTACATGAGGCAATGCATGCCTGGAGACTACAGCCACCTCTGCAGCCACTGCTGCGTATCTCAGAGCAATGTCTTTTCAGTGACCTACAATAAATCCCTCTGCCAAATACTTCCACAGACTCTGCTAAATCCCACCCAGTACCTCTCCAGCACGTCTCACTCAAAGGGAGCCAGGCAGAAGGAGGAACTCATTAGCCCAGACTCAGCCAGAAAGGTCTCTGACTGCATGACAGAAGAAAGGATTTGTTTGCAAGAAATCTGAAACCATGGCACAAGGCATGCATAACTGGCACAAGGCAGGGAGGAGCATGTCAACTTGAGATAAAGTCTTGACAATACTTGATTCTTAACAATTCTTGACAAGCTGAGGGCATGTTCTTTCTGTCTTTGTTCTGTTGTATTGGTAATACGTGTAAATGTAATGAACAGTCCTAGAATATTTTCCACATACAAGTGTGTCAACTAAAAGACTGTGCTATACTAAGTTGAAATTTTTCAGAGTGTTCTCCACTACCATATGCATAACAGGCATTTTTCGAAATTAGATTAGAAAACATTCACTGCAGTTACAGGTCAGTAGTGAAAAATAATTTCTGGAAGTTGACAGCCAAGCAACAGGGTAGTAGCTTGGCAAAGAGACCTATTTCTGTACTGGTAATTCAATTTAAAGGCCTGGAGCTATCTTTAGAAGCGTCACTGCTTCTTGCAGCACTGCTGCTGTCATTGATGTTAATGTGCACCATTATCTGGAGAGACAGCACAGAAACTGCTGGAGAAGAGCACAATGCTTCCATCCCGAAAAAGAGCAAAATCAAGCATTTTTGTAGAAGGAACACATTAAGTCAAATTTGTATTCATTTCGAAGATTCAGTTGTCACATACATGTTTTTTGGTGGAGTGCTTTCTAATCACAGTTTCTGAAGTACAAGGTCTGCTCTGGAATGAAGCCATAGAGTGGTAACACTGCCAGTACTCTCAAAATCTACATTTGCAGGAGATTCACTTTTAAATGAGTCATCAGGAGGGTGGATTCCTTCATGAAGCTGTTAACAACATCCACGCTGTTGCCATTTATTCTGATGAATGAACAATAATAAGGCAATTATACAAAATGATATTTCATTCTGCTACTGTTATCATTCTTCATGGCAAACAAAAATATTTTAATAAAAGGTGGTGCTAAACAGAAAAAAAAATTATCAGTTGAACACCTTATTTTGAAAATGCTCGTGCTACTGTATAGCCCTCCTCTCAAAATGCGTGCTAAAAATAAACACTGCTGTCAGATTCCCATAGGTCTTATTAAATCCCTTAAGAGGAGGTACCTTGTGTGCCTTGATGGGAATACTTCTATTGGCAACTGTAAGCATTTGCCTTCTGACCAGATGCTTCACCTGCATTTAAATTATTTCAGCTGAAACTGTAATAGGGTGATCTTAAGGTTTCAGCTGCAGTTGTGACACTTGCTGATAAAGCCTCAAAGAACTTCAGCAAAGATTTCAATGACTTTTATTGACATGACAAAAAATTTTGGCTAAGAAATACCATGTTTAGCCAACTGTCAAATGGGTGGATGCCATAGGATATTTCCTGAGATGATCAGTGAAAATGGTGCAGATGTATAAAATATACAAACATACATATCCAAAATGTTACAAGCCTAGCTTTTTTTTTTTTTTTTTTTTTTTTTTTTTTTTTTTTTTTGAGTACTGCTTGACTCAAAAACTTGACTCAAGTTACAGAACTGATCTTTTGATTATGGTTGACAAAATCTTCAAAGATATTTTTCTCTGACAGGATCAGGCAGATATAGAATTTATTTTGTACAATTATTGCACTGTGCAGTGTAAATGCATTTTACAGTCTAAGAAATGAGAAAAATCCAATGATGCAAAGGAGCAACTAGTTTGCAGTGATGTGGTGTATAGGACTGAATTTATAACACAAACACAAAGCAAACTTGAGGACCTGGTAAACCTTACAATATCTGTAAGTGCAACAGAGAATGAAGATACAAACTAAACAAGTAAGAGAGACAAGGACATAGTAGAGAACTGAGATTTCAATATCCATATTTAGGAGCATAGGGGGATTCTCATGACTTTTTGTAGTTGTTGTTGTTTTTTAACAATGAACATGTCAAAATATAAATATGAAGCCATGATAGGAGGAGTTTTGGAACAAATGAAAAGTAACAAATTGCAGACCAGCAGTATTTAAACAGAGTCTGAAAGAAACTGAAACACGAAATAATTGAGCTATATTGATACAATTAAAAAATAATAATAGTAATAAAAAAAGGGAAGTGACTGACCACTAAGTGAGGAAACCAGTAGATTCAAGCTTAGGTCCATCAAAATAAGGTAAAAACTGTACTTACTTGCTGCCTGGTACACCATCAAAGAAATAAAATAAATGGCATATGGCATCTAATATGGTTTTAAAAAATTTTTAAAGCAATCTCTAAATAAATTTAAAAGTTTTTTTCTCTAGCAAATATATGTGATTAATGTATAAACTGCTAAAGTTTATGAACAATATTTCATGCTGTCCCAGGGAATGGCTTACCTATGTCAGCAACAAGACTGCCAGGCTTTTGCTCCAACAGAAAGTTTCTCACACGAGGCCATGCTTTGCTCTGCAGATCATTAAAGTAGGCAGCTGTATTTTCATACACACTATGCACATGCTGCTTTTCTAGCTGGGTAGCCTCATGTTCCATCCTGAAAACATAATGAAGATTATATGCAATGACGCATGAACTGTTGTAGACTATATTTTATAGACATGTATAATTCCTGAACTTGTAAGCTTATTTTTATAAAATCATTGCAAACATCTAATAGCCATCATATTTATAATATGTTTTTTAACCAAGGGATCTGTTTTTTTTCCAGAAACTTTAAGAAAAGTTTTGAATTTATCATCTTCTCTCAGAAGCATTATATAGCCGCATGTACTATTCAACAATATGCACATTCTTCAGTAATTTGACCAGTGCAGTAAAGGCTTATCTGCTTCCAAAACAGAGCATGTATTCAGCAGGAGAAGAGAACCAGGAAGTTAAGAATAGACTCTCCAGCAAGTAGATAGGCAAACTCTTATTATGGTGTTTTTCAAATATAGCCTGGACCCTGAAAGAGGGTCCATAGACTTTGGCTTCAGTGATGAAATGGCTGAGACTTACACAGGAAAAAAAAAATCAGGATTTCTCTACCTTTGCTTAACCATTTTCATTTCATTCAAAACGCCTATCGTACAAACACTATCTTCTTAATTTTTAAAATGGGAATTAATTCCAGTGACCACAAAGAAAGTATTTATGTGCTTTACATTAAGTGTATGTGAACACTTATAAGAATAATGTTTATCCATCTTGCTGGTTTTATGTGCTCTGCTATGTCAGACGAAATTGTCCCAGTGGTCTATTCAGACTGTACCTATAGATCATACCTATTTAATAGTTCTCTTCAAAACATTTATGCCAATGTCTTTACAGCACCTATTTTCATTTTTCTGGCCTGATCTACAGTTTTCTTTTATGATACATTAGCTGAGGTTTTACTAGCTAAATATATATGTGTTTGTTTTTATATATGTATATAGAAATACATGTGAGAAAAAATCAGTAACAGACTAGCAAATTCCCAGTAGCCAAAACTTCAGTGTTACCCTGAGGAGCATAAAACTATAACAGACTGAACAAGAAAAGCAGATACTATTGGAAATACAGACTTGAAATGATATCACATGACAGAAGTAACTCAGAATTTTTCTCAGAGTTCTATTTCAAGCTATGTTGTCAAATAGAATGGGTTAGTTGCAGCAATTTCAAATAATTACTCCTCAAAATCTAAAGCCCTTTTTTTTTTTTTCTTATTTGACTCTTAAATAGAGCAGATCGTGTTTCATGTTTGCAATTATCTTTCTTCTCTACCTTGAAACATACTCTATTTTGTTGCTCAGTTGCCCAGAAATATGTAGAAATTCCAAAGACTAACAATTATTTATCTTCTTTTGTCATTTTGTATGTTTCTTGTTCTAGTTTCTGTTTCATGTTTGGTTACTATTGTGGTTCAGTGTTTACAAGTGTTTTTGTCTTTCTACTTGAAGTTGTTTGCTCAATCTTTGCAGTTCTTTAAAAAAAAAAAAAAAAAAAAAAAAAAAAGAGAGATGGAGAATATTTTCAACAATTCATAGTGATTTCCAACTGCTACAGAAATTTCAGTTTATGACAACTACAGAAATAGCTTCCTGAACCGAAGCTTAATTTGGTTAACACAAATTAATTTGTTAAACACAAAAGCCAACTTGGACATGACACAGAAGATGTTAAGAAGTTCCCTATTGATGCAATATTCTACTACATTTTTCATGAAATGTCTTTATTTAATCTAAATATAGGCTGAAAATCAGCTTTGTTTTTTACTGAATCACAAGCCCATTACATTTTTGCCTTAACTTTCTCATTCACTGAGGCTGCTACTGACTCTTCTATACTGGACATGTGGGAGAGTACCACAGCACTATTTTAGAGGTTATTATTTTTGGATACATTTTATAAACACTATCAAGATAACGACTTGGCTATAATGTTAGAATAACAGCATTCTACCAAAATGCAAATAATTTCATGTACCATTTTATTAAGACTTCCATTCCTGCTGATTACATATATTTTGCAGGCAATTAAGTCACATGATGAAATCAGACTTGCCAGTTTGACTTTCCAGTCAAAGCCCTTAACTCTGTCAGGCTTCATTTTGCAGCACGGCAGGGAAACGCCCTAGCAACAAACCTCTTCATTTCACTGTTTACAGAAGGCAAGAAACCTGTGGAGACAGACTTGACCTACAGCTGTATCAGTACTACACAAGCCTGATGTCAGTGAAGACGTAAAGCTTAGAACTATCTAATTATGCAAGCCAGAGACAGTACCTCAATTTTTCTTTGTAAACAAAACCAATCATTGCAACCCTTTTGCCTTAAAAATATCAGACAAAGTCTCTGCTGCACCTAAACCGCAGAAAATGTTCAGTTCATCCAAATCCTATCTTGTGACTTCCAGGATGATGGGAACATCTGTTTTGCATAGGAGGTAATGAAAATGTAAGATTTCCAGAAATCCCACTGTTTCAGCATCTGCTCTGCTCAGGTTACATGGAAGCTATCCAATTAGCCAGAGAAAAGAAGAGCAGAAGGTGGCGATTAATGTGTACGCTTTCCTCACCCTCAATTCTTTATTTTCTTGTGTGGTAGCTCATACAGCTGCCAAAGAGCTCTTGCAGAGACTAGGTGCAAGAGCATGAAGGGCACTACGAACTGGCAGCCAGTTGCTTAGTGACTGCAGGAAGTCCCCAAAATAGGGAGGCAGCTCTAGAAACATGGGACTCCAACAAACTGTTTGCATAACAGATGAAGAGTAGGATTTTCTCCTCTGCCAGTGCCTCCTGGTTCATCTATGTTCACTCACAAGACTACAACAGGCCCTTGTTGTGCATGATCTACGAAATGAAAATAATAGATGGAAGCTGCAGTGTAGTCCTTGTTGATCTTGTGGGGAAATGGATCATCAGTCCATCACATGAAACTGTGGCATATGAATAAAAATGACAGAAATTAAACAGGTTCTTTGACTGTCCTACAGAGCTGGTTTGTTTTTCTTTATTAAAACAAGTAAAAGCAAAATAAGCTAAAAAAAAAAAACCTAAAAATGACAGCTTCACAGGGTGTAGAAATAATTGTACTAACATTCCGTATATATTTTATAGCTACACATCTCTCTAAAAGTTTTCTGAGTCCAAGGGAATCTACTTTCTTCCTTTCCCATTAACATTTTGAAACTGTTTAAACAATTGACTTTTCAAGGGTATGCCTTTAAGGAAAGTCATGTTGCTTGGACTTATTCTATCACTGCTGAAGCATTTAACTACATGACCTTGAAATGAAAACAGAGAAAATTAATAATCCCAGTTTACAACATTTTAAAAAGTCAGGATTTTCTTTTCCTAGCCTTTTTTTTTTTTTTTTCTTTTTTTGGGGGGTGAGGGAATTTGGAAGTGATTTGGCTAATTGTATTAAATACCTTTGCCTCAAAAGGTCAAAACAGCTGTTGCCCCTCAAACACAAGGGGTGCCCTAACATTAAAATGCAGGCAGTAGCGTTCAGTCCAAAAACTCCGCCATTCACTTCAAGTTCCATTTAAGCCAAAGATTTTCACGTCATCCTCTGTCTACCTTCCCACATGTTATTTCACCACCACTGTTTAAAATTGATGCACAACACTTGAAGTCTTCAACTGGCTCATGCTTAGTTCTCCCTGTGACTGCCTCTTTGGCCAGGCCAGTCACAATATCCAGAACGTGCTACAGACTTCTTGTCAGTGGCCTCTAGGAAACATCCTGTTATTTTCATACTAGACATCAAATCCTGCATCCCTTCTATTTCACTTCAAATCAATTGCTCTTGATTAATTTGATCCACAGGCTTTCCCTTACTTCTCTCTCTTGTAGCTGCCTGTTTTCTCTATCCCTTTGATGAACAGCAGGAACTTACTCAATTCAGCCTGAGTGTCAGATATGAAATATTTCGTCTCTTAATGAGGGCTTCTCTTATCTAAGCTCTTCACACACTGATGGGAATTCTCAATCCCATTTTGGATTATGAGACCTCCTACTTCAAAGATCTGTGAAATTCAGCACAGTTGTCTCTTCATGTTGCTACAGCAACACAAATCTTGGTTACGCATGCAACTGCAGCTATGGATGTAATAATTTAAATAACTTTAAATATAGAACAATATAGCCACAAGGGCAGATCTATTTCCCACACTACTCTGCTCTCCAGCAATAACAAGAGCAGCTATAGCCAATACTAACTGGATAAAGAGTGAGAAAGTCCTACTGATTCTGTCCCCCCAACTACAGGACAGGGAGAACTGTCTATAATGGTGAGCAGTGCTTCCAGTTAACCACCAAGTAAGTTGCTTACAACTTACCAGTCTTTTCATTCAAAAATATGTAGCGGTGGAAAAGCTACATGCACAGCCAATGGTAAGAAGCAACTGCAAAACATCATAACACTTCTTCTCAAAACCTGACCAGTTTTCTTTGTCAGAGCTTTGCCCACGCTTAAGACTGATTCTATAAAGCACAGTAATAATGTCCATTCTGATTTACAGTGTTTTATTTCATTAATAAAGGCGACAAATACAAGTGTGATTTTAGATATGAATCATTACATAAAACAGGCTTACAAGTAAATAAAGGATAATGAAACAGAATAAAAGGAATCCTACTGTGAATTGTTAAACGAGATGCAACCCATGTTAAGCAAAACGTTACAGGAGAAGACAGTTTTCTTAAGGCTAACAACTCTGGTAATTAAGTTCACCCACGCATGAACAGCAACAATTCCATGAAAATGCACAGTGTGAAATCAGAGCAAGAGGAAGGCCATGCAGTGTGTTTAAAACCTTACTGAACTGAACTCCTGATTCAGTAGCATTGTTCCAGTAAAATTTGGCAAACTGAAGTGAAAAACAAAGATTTGAGACAAGTTTAGAATCACTGTTACTCAAAATGTTCAGTGTGAAGCTAGAAATTTAAAATAACTTCATTAATTGAAATAAAATCACTATAATCATACTTTTTTTTTTTTTTTTTTTTTTTTTTTTTACTGATAAATAGAATCTTGCTCTCATGGAAGACTGAAAGCAGAGAG